TATACTGGATCCTCTATAGTGCAGAACGGGTTAGTGGACGTGTGTCAGTATACTGGATCCTCTATAGTGCAGAACGGGTTAGTGGCCGTGTGTCAGTATACTGGATCCTCTATAGTGCAGAACGGGTTAGTGGACGTGTGTCAGTATACTGGATCCTCTATAGTGCAGAACGGGTTAGTGGACGTGTGTCAGTATACTGGATCCTCTATAGTGCAGAACGGGTTAGTGGACGTGTGTCAGTATACTGGATCCTCTATAGTGCAGAACGGGTTAGTGGACGCGTGTCAGTATACTGGATCCTCTATAGTGCAGAACGGGTTAGTGGACGCGTGTCAGTATACTGGATCCTCTATAGTGCAGAACGGGTTAGTGGACGTGTGTCAGTATACTGGATCCTCTATAGTGCAGAACGGGTTAGTGGACGTGTGTCAGTATACTGGATCCTCTATAGTGCAGAACGGGTTAGTGGACGTGTGTCAGTATACTGGATCCTCTATAGTGCAGAACGGGTTAGTGGCCGTGTGTCAGTATACTGGATCCTCTATAGTGCAGAACGGGTTAGTGGACGTGTGTCAGTATACTGGATCCTCTATAGTGCAGAACGGGTTAGTGGACGTGTGTCAGTATACTGGATCCTCTATAGTGCAGAACGGGTTAGTGGACGTGTGTCAGTATACTGGATCCTCTATAGTGCAGAACGGGTTAGTGGACGCGTGTCAGTATACTGGATCCTCTATAGTGCAGAACGGGTTAGTGGACGCGTGTCAGTATACTGGATCCTCTATAGTGCAGAACGGGTTAGTGGACGTGTGTCAGTATACTGGATCCTCTATAGTGCAGAACGGGTTAGTGGACGCGTGTCAGTATACTGGATCCTCTATAGTGCAGAACGGGTTAGTGGACGCGTGTCAGTATACTGGATCCTCTATAGTGCAGAACGGGTTAGTGGACCTGTGTCAGTATACTGGATCCTCTATAGTGCAGAACGGGTTAGTGGACGCGTGTCAGTATACTGGATCCTCTATAGTGCAGAACGGGTTAGTGGACGTGTGTCAGTATACTGGATCCTCTATAGTGCAGAACGGGTTAGTGGACGTGTGTCAGTATACTGGATCCTCTATAGTGCAGAACGGGTTAGTGGACGCGTGTCAGTATACTGGATCCTCTATAGTGCAGAACGGGTTAGTGGACGTGTGTCAGTATACTGGATCCTCTATAGTGCAGAACGGGTTAGTGGACGTGTGTCAGTATACTGGATCCTCTATAGTGCAGAACGGGTTAGTGGACGTGTGTCAGTATACTGGATCCTCTATAGTGCAGAACGGGTTAGTGGCCGTGTGTCAGTATACTGGATCCTCTATAGTGCAGAACGGGTTAGTGGCCGTGTGTCAGTATACTGGATCCTCTATAGTGCAGAACGGGTTAGTGGACGTGTGTCAGTATACTGGATCCTCTATAGTGCAGAACGGGTTAGTGGACGTGTGTCAGTATACTGGATCCTCTATAGTGCAGAACGGGTTAGTGGACGTGTGTCAGTATACTGGATCCTCTATAGTGCAGAACGGGTTAGTGGCCGTGTGTCAGTATACTGGATCCTCTATAGTGCAGAACGGGTTAGTGGACGTGTGTCAGTATACTGGATCCTCTATAGTGCAGAACGGGTTAGTGGACGTGTGTCAGTATACTGGATCCTCTATAGTGCAGAACGGGTTAGTGGCCGTGTGTCAGTATACTGGATCCTCTATAGTGCAGAACGGGTTAGTGGCCGTGTGTCAGTATACTGGATCCTCTATAGTGCAGAACGGGTTAGTGGACGTGTGTCAGTATACTGGATCCTCTATAGTGCAGAACGGGTTAGTGGACGTGTGTCAGTATACTGGATCCTCTATAGTGCAGAACGGGTTAGTGGACGTGTGTCAGTATACTGGATCCTCTATAGTGCAGAACGGGTTAGTGGACGCGTGTCAGTATACTGGATCCTCTATAGTGCAGAACGGGTTAGTGGACGCGTGTCAGTATACTGGATCCTCTATAGTGCAGAACGGGTTAGTGGCCGTGTGTCAGTATACTGGATCCTCTATAGTGCAGAACGGGTTAGTGGACGCGTGTCAGTATACTGGATCCTCTATAGTGCAGAACGGGTTAGTGGACGTGTGTCAGTATACTGGATCCTCTATAGTGCAGAACGGGTTAGTGGACGTGTGTCAGTATACTGGATCCTCTATAGTGCAGAACGGGTTAGTGGACGCGTGTCAGTATACTGGATCCTCTATAGTGCAGAACGGGTTAGTGGACGCGTGTCAGTATACTGGATCCTCTATAGTGCAGAACGGGTTAGTGGACGTGTGTCAGTATACTGGATCCTCTATAGTGCAGAACGGGTTAGTGGACGCGTGTCAGTATACTGGATCCTCTATAGTGCAGAACGGGTTAGTGGACGTGTGTCAGTATACTGGATCCTCTATAGTGCAGAACGGGTTAGTGGACGCGTGTCAGTATACTGGATCCTCTATAGTGCAGAACGGGTTAGTGGCCGTGTGTCAGTATACTGGATCCTCTATAGTGCAGAACGGGTTAGTGGACGCGTGTCAGTATACTGGATCCTCTATAGTGCAGAACGGGTTAGTGGACGCGTGTCAGTATACTGGATCCTCTATAGTCCAGAACGGGTTAGTGGACGCGTGTCAGTATACTGGATCCTCTATAGTGCAGAACGGGTTAGTGGACGCGTGTCAGTATACTGGATCCTCTATAGTCCAGAACGGGTTAGTGGACGCGTGTCAGTATACTGGATCCTCTATAGTCCAGAACGGGTTAGTGGACGCGTGTCAGTATACTGGATCCTCTATAGTGCAGAACGGGTTAGTGGACGCGTGTCAGTATACTGGATCCTCTATAGTGCAGAACGGGTTAGTGGACGCGTGTCAGTATACTGGATCCTCTATAGTGCAGAACGGGTTAGTGGACGTGTGTCAGTATACTGGATCCTCTATAGTGCAGAACGGGTTAGTGGACGCGTGTCAGTATACTGGATCCTCTATAGTAAAGAACGGGTTAGTGGACGTGTGTCAGTATACTGGATCCTCTATAGTGCAGAACGGGTTAGTGGACGCGTGTCAGTATACTGGATCCTCTATAGTGCAGAACGGGTTAGTGGACGCGTGTCAGTATACTGGATCCTCTATAGTGCAGAACGGGTTAGTGGACGTGTGTCAGTATACTGGATCCTCTATAGTGCAGAACGGGTTAGTGGACGCGTGTCAGTATACTGGATCCTCTATAGTCCAGAACGGGTTAGTGGACGCGTGTCAGTATACTGGATCCTCTATAGTGCAGAACGGGTTAGTGGACGTGTGTCAGTATACTGGATCCTCTATAGTGCAGAACGGGTTAGTGGACGCGTGTCAGTATACTGGATCCTCTATAGTGCAGAACGGGTTAGTGGACGTGTGTCAGTATACTGGATCCTCTATAGTGCAGAACGGGTTAGTGGACGCGTGTCAGTATACTGGATCCTCTATAGTGCAGAACGGGTTAGTGGACGTGTGTCAGTATACTGGATCCTCTATAGTGCAGAACGGGTTAGTGGACGCGTGTCAGTATACTGGATCCTCTTTAGTGCAGAACGGGTTAGTGGACGCGTGTCAGTATACTGGATCCTCTATAGTGCAGAACGGGTTAGTGGACGTGTGTCAGTATACTGGATCCTCTATAGTGCAGAACGGGTTAGTGGACGTGTGTCAGTATACTGGATCCTCTATAGTGCAGAACGGGTTAGTGGACGCGTGTCAGTATACTGGATCCTCTATAGTGCAGAACGGGTTAGTGGACGTGTGTCAGTATACTGGATCCTCTATAGTGCAGAACGGGTTAGTGGACGTGTGTCAGTATACTGGATCCTCTATAGTGCAGAACGGGTTAGTGGACGTGTGTCAGTATACTGGATCCTCTATAGTGCAGAACGGGTTAGTGGACGTGTGTCAGTATACTGGATCCTCTATAGTGCAGAACGGGTTAGTGGACGCGTGTCAGTATACTGGATCCTCTTTAGTGTACAGACACACACACACAGAGGAGATCAAAATGGTAAACAGGAGCTCAAACACACTTAAACCAATGAGGTTTGGTTTCCAGCTTTCGTTTACCATATTTCATGAGCTTTCTATGTATGTGTATTCATCAATGTTTATATGAGAATTATTCTGTTCCATCATATAACGCGATTGTGTCTCTTCAGAAAACTTGGATTAAACCGCTACAATAGTATGGGTTACTTTCACAATGTCTTTATGAACTTTTTGAAGTTTTGGTGGCATTAACTTTCAATGTAGGGGCAGAAATCTATTATGGTTTCATTAAAAATATCTTCATTTATGTATTGAAGATGAGCGAAATGGTGAGTAAATGAAGGCAACTTAAATGTTTGGTAGTTTGAGTCGTTTCTGAGCCTAGAGAGCATCTCTTTCTTCTGTTTCTGGGCCAAACCTGAATGTCCAGCAGCATCATAATGAACGAGTGTAAGAGCACTGATCTTCAGAAGTCGCTTCTAACCTCTCTCTGACGGAAAACACAGCACTCGGTGTCATTGTCAGCTTTCAAGCAAAGGGTAATAATACGAGACAGACGAGAACTCTGTTTGTAGGCCTCAATATTATGACTGAGATGGAAACTTATTAGTTTCCTCTCGCAGAAAACGAGTATTTATCTCGGGAAACATGACTTTAGACACGAGCTTCATTACTGCGGCCAATCTGAAGTTTTAAAACATCGAGTCTGTTGTAATAAAACTGAGTAAACAGTGCGCTACATGTTAGCGCGATGGCTAATGCTAGCTTCGCTCTCCTCTCGACTTGACATCGTTACCAGAACAAGTGTGTGAAAACACAGGCTTCAAACATCGACTGAGCTGCAGTGTGTGTGTGTGTGTGTGTGTGTGTGTGTGTGTGTGTGTGTGAGTGATGGGTCCAGGTTAGCCCTGGTTCTGGTGTTGTGGACCGTACCCTTCTGTATCCTGAGCTGGGCCGCGCTCGCCTTCTTCCCGCCGGCCCCGGCTCGCGGTCCCCCCGCGGACTCCTCGTCCTTCTTCTGCTGCTTCAGCGAGAAAAGCTTGATCATCTTCAGTTCTGCGATAAAACACACCGATATCGCGACGCTGCCGTGCTTGTGTGTGTGTGTGTGACGGGGACAGATAGTGTGAGCGACGCGTTCCACCGCAGCTGTAGAGGGAGCCGGTGTGTGTGTGTGTGTGTGTGTGTGTGAGTGAGAGAGAGAGAGTGACTGAGAGTGTGACTGTGTGTGTGTGTGTGTGTGTGTGTTTGAGAGAGAGAGAGAGACTGAGAGAGAGTGTGTGTGTGTGTGTGAGTACAAACCCGGTTTGAGTTTTAGGCCAGTGGATTGAGGATAAAGAGAGTAAAGTGAGGACATGTTGCTGGTCCTCAGTGTCTGAGAGCGGCTGAATCCCAGATCACTGTTCCCTATCCACTATATAGGGCCTAAACCCTCAGCCACTGTTTCCTACTCCCTACGGTAGTCCACTGTCCCCCCTAAACCCTCAGCCACTGTTTCCTACTCCCTACGGTAGTCCACTGTCCCCCCTAAACCCTCAGCCACTGTTCCCTACTCCCTACGGTAGTCCACTGTCCCCCCTAAACCATCAGCCACTGTTCCCTACATTAGTCCACTATCCCCCCTAAACCCTCAGCCACTGTTCCCTACTCCCTACGGTAGTCCACTATCCCCCCTAAACCCTCAGCCACTGTTCCCTACTCCCTACGGTAGTCCACTGTCCCCCCTAAACCCTCAGCCACTGTTCCCTACTCCCTACGGTAGTCCACTATCCCCCCTAAACCCTCAGCCACTGTTCCCTACTCCCTACGGTAGTCCACTATCCCCCCTAAACCCTCAGCCACTGTTCCCTACTCCCTACGGTAGTCCACTATCCCCCCTAAACTCTCAGCCACTGTTCCCTACATTAGTCCACTATCCCCCCTAAACCCTCAGCCACTGTTTCCTACTCCCTACGGTAGTCCACTGTCCCCCCTAAACCCTCAGCCACTGTTCCCTACTCCCTACGGTAGTCCACTGTCCCCCCTAAACCCTCAGCCACTGTTCCCTACTCCCTACGGTAGTCCACTATCCCCCCTAAACCATCAGCCACTGTTCCCTACTCCCTACGGTAGTCCACTATCGCCCCCTAAATCGTCCACTTATACTGTTCACTTGAAGGAGTGAATGAAAACGAGTGAGGGAATTCGGACAGCCGTTGAACATCGTCTGTACACTTGTTAAAGTGGTACACTACAAATGGCTGTTCCCTCAATAGTGCTCTTAATGAGTTGTATAGGGGGTGATTTCCGATTCAGCCCTGGTTAAGGGATCAGATTATAATTAAGTTAGGGTCAGTAGTGATGGGCAGCCTAAACCATCTTATTCTCTGGCTTAAGATGTTGTTCACTTCATATTATTAGTGTTTATTATTTCCTCACGGCTCACAGATATGTGCAGTGTCGCGATATAAACCTAACCAGTAAATAATAACGCGGGTGTTTTTGGGTATGGCTCATGGACCACATTTCCCATGATGCCGCGGGTTGTGACGAATTGACCTGGGAGGAGCTTTTGCATTTTTTTTTACTCTCCATATTTTTTATTTACCATATTTATTTATTTATTTGATTTTCGGGAGCAGGAATGGCGTCAGGATCATGTAAGAGCTGATCTGGACTGTACTGGCGCATTTGATGCGTTACAATATAAATATACATGCATATATTCATAGATAAATGCAGCAGAGGAACACAATAGGAAAGAGCGAACAAAAGGCACGTTTATCCGTTTATGCTGTTTTCTCTTTCAGTTCCGCAGATCGTTCGGGAATAATAAGCGCCTGGAATATCGGCCATCGGAATCACAGAGGATGATATTCATGGATTATATCAATGATCTGTAGAGCTCGTATGATTTTAATATTTGAGGAGCACATTGAGAGAGCAGAAATCATCGCTGTCGTTGATAATAGCTGGTAATGGATGTGATTGGTGTTTAAAGCAGTCACTCATGTAAAGCTGAGAGAGAGACTGAGAACAAGGAAGCGATCTCTCTCTCTCTCTCTTTCATTGTGTCTGTCCATCTATCGTCAGAAAACATCTCAGAAAACATCTCTCTAATGCTCGATCTGGGAGAATGCGCGTCCACACGAGCAGGTGAGTGAGTTCTGCTGGGACGAGCTCGTGCTCGCTGGCTAGTCGTGTATTGTTGTGTGTCTGTGAGAGTGTGTGTGTGTGTGTCTGTGAGAGTGTGTGCCATTAAAACAAGATCGTCGTGGGCGAAATTCCTCCCAGATCACAATGGTTCGTAAAGCCCATCTCGGTCCTGCTGAACTGGGTGAATGCGCTGAATGGACCTGCTAACTAACCCATGCTAGCGGCTCCTTATAGCCAGCCTGGACTGTTTCTGCTCGTTCGTCTGGTGTGTTTCTGGTTCTGTGGATCAGTGAAAGCGCTTCTCAGCTGTTGGGCTGGGTTATGTGAGTATATGTGTGGCTGAGGACAAATAACTAACTAACTAACCAGCTGGTTAGCCGCTCATGTTAGCTGTCGTGTGTCCGCAGTGGCACTGCTCATTCACTGACTGATGATGACACTGTCATTCACCACGGTAAATCATGGTAAATGCCTGCAGCTTCTGTGTGTCTTCAGTCTGATTTTAGGCCCATATTTGACCTGACAGAATGGAGAATAGTTTAGCTGAAGAAATGCCATGATATATCTTGGACTTTCCACCTATAGTTACTGGTTGTGTCATAAAAAATGAACTAAATTCCAAAATACTGTGAAATATTACACTGCTTGGAAAATGCCTTATGAGGTGATCCTGATGTTGCTCTGGTGACTGTGTGATTTGGGTGGCAGTAAATGTTGTTTATCAATGACAGAGAGTATAATGTACTACAGTAATCCTGCTGTCACTCAAGATGAACAAATGTTGAATTTAATAAGGACATACAAATGACGATTATTATCACACATCTCTCTACAATATTTGATTCTGTCATGGCATTTAGTGGTTAAATATTTATCAAAACTCAAATATACCGTATCTGAACGTTTGTGTAATTCTGTATGTCTGACAGTTCCTGCACCGTAACTTAAAAGAGTTTGGATGATCTACCTGAAATAAAATAAAACACACACTCTAACACACACACACACACTGTACATCTGCTGCTGGTCGAGTTGCATATCGGTGGTTCCTGTCCCAATCCACCGGACTAGATGTTTAGAGCTAGATCTTCATGGTTATAGTTCTCGTCTGTGTTCGTCAGGAATCCTCAGGATAGATGTGTAATGTCTGACAGGGATGGAGACGAGGGACGAGTTCAGGAGATTAAACCGCTGTTTAACTGACCCATGTTCGCTCAACGAGAAGCGAACTCTTCCTGGACATCGGTTCAGCTCATATGATGTTATTTTAAACGTTTATTTTGTGTAATAGGTTAACATGCTTTAATGTAAAAAAAAAAAAACATACTGTACATTATTGTCCAGTCTGTCTGAAACTGAAACACACTGATTTCTACAAAGCCCCTCCCTTCAGAAAAGCCCAGTGCTCTGATTGGCCACAGCTCAACCAGTGCGTTGTGATTGGCTGGAAACCTTAAGTGTGTGTTAAACGTTAAGCGAGTGTCATCAACAGTCATCTGTCCATCACTGCCTCTCGCTCTTCCCAGCTTTATACTGGGAGTAAATGGCTAGTGCATCATCCATCATAACAGTGATCCATAGGGGTTAATAAAGGCCTTCTGAAGAAGAAGATCCATATTTATAACTTTAGAAACCATAAGCACTGGCGTCCGGTAACTGCCGTACGCGAGTCTAGTTCCTGGGGAAGAGTGACCTCTGACCCCACGCATGATGTAGGAGTAGCGTAAGCTCAGGTGAGAGTCCACGCCTCTCGCCGTTCAAATATCAAACTCAAGCTCCTTACACATTTCTCTATAAAAATGATTGATTCGTGACCGGTGTTTTGCTCGATCCTCTGCACTTCTGTGTTCGTCAGTACGTCATGCGTGGGGTCAGAGGTCATGCGTGGGGTCAGAGGTCACTCTTCCGCTGGAACTAGACTTGCGTACGGCTATTACCGGACGCCAGTGATTATAGTTATAAATATGGATCTTCTTCTTCAGAAGGCCTTTATTAACCCCTGTATGGATCACTGTTATGATGGATGATGCACTAGCCATTCACTCCCAGTATAAAGCTGGGAAGAGCAGAATATTTCTTATTTATAACTCCGATTGTGTTCATCTGAAAGAAGAGTGTCATTTACACCTAGGATGGCTTGAGGGCGAGTAAATCATGGGATAATTTTCATTTTTGGGTGAACTATCCCTTTAAACATCTACAGTGTGAATATCTGTAAAGCTGCTTTAAAACAGTGTGTGTTGTGAAAAGTTTCTGTACAAACTGGACTGAGTGAAAGAGTTCCTTCCTCCAACTGTACTCCTCTGAAGACAAGCTGGGAGTAAAGCAGGAGTGTGTGTGTGTGTGTGTGTGTTAGCTCGTCACATTACAGAAGAGCAAGTTAGGACATTATTATAAAGGATTACAAGGTCCAAAAAATGCATGAATGAAGCATTAATAATAAGACCGGTAACATGCATTAGAAAAACAAATGGTGCTTGGTTCTCATGAGTGCACTTTTGTTTATTGTCATTACATTTATACTTTGAATTAGCATTTTAATCATAAGTCATGCTGACATGGAGTAATCTGATGATATTTCATGAAAGTGACTGTAATACAGTAGTGTAGTAGTAATTTGACACACACCTGCGAATCACTGTTCATTTCCACTGAACGGATGAAAGTCCCGCAGTGAAACTGGAGGACGACTGAGGCTGACGTGGGTTACGTCTGATTTTGTTTCACTGAATAGAAAGTCGTAAGAGTTAAAGTTAAAACGATGTACCCTTGAATCTTCAGCGCACATGAGTGTGTGTGAGGAACGCCTGAGGTGCGTGTGTGAGGAGCTGAAGCATGAGTGTGAGGAGCGGCACCGGCTCTGGGTTTGAGGAGAGACTCCCGACTCCTCCCGAATCCTCAATACTCCTCCCGAATCCTCCCGACTCATCCCGAATCATCCCGAATCCTCCCGACTCATCCCGAATCCTCCATACTCCTCCCGAATCCTCAATACTCCTCCCGA